TACCCCCCCCCTTTCTCCCCCCCTCTCTCTCTCTCTCTCTCTCTCTCTCTCTCTCTCTCTCTCTCTCCTCTTAGTTCTTCTTTCCTCAGTCCCTTTCCTTTTACTCTTCAATTCTCACCTCCACCTCATGCAGAGTAACTTTCATCACTATTCTTATTAGGTCACACTGTGAGCCTCCTGCCAGTCTTCTTCCTTTGGAATGAGATTCCAGCAGCCCTGGGATTCCAGACATATTTAAATGCAACATGGCGATATTGTCCGCTCAGCTCTCCATGTACAACTTTGGTGGTTTATATGTTATTTGTGTGTTTAATGGTTAGTTATTAATATAAGCTAAAGGTAATTTTGCAGGACTTGCTTTCTGACCTGGTTCAGAGATAAAAGTCTTATTTTAACTCTGGATAAAGTGAGATCCTAGTAACCACTACATATTGAAAAATTGATGAATCTCAGGCCATTTCAGATGTCACTTCTCTATGGGGGCCTTCCCTGATTCACTAGTGGAGGCAGCGTCTGAACTCCCACCACACTTTTCAGTGGACTTTGCTGAATCTACTTCTCAATTTTTTTTTTTATAAATCATGTATTTCATCAAAATTTCAAATTGTTAGTTTAAAATCACATGTAGTATTCTTGTATAATTTAAAATTATATTCATATATGTAGTTTTTTCTCTTTTCTTATCTCCAACATTGTTTAGTTGTATCTTTCCACTGTTTTTATCTGGACAGAACTTGCCAAAGTTTATTTATTTTTGTGTGTTTTTTTCATATAATCATTTAGGTTCTCTTCTCTGTTGTGTGTTCATAACTCCTGTTTGACTTTTTGTTTATTTGTAATAGTAGTTTACATTACATGTTCTTGAAATTATATTCTCTATCTCAATGGCTTGCCTTTATCGACGTTGTCCTTTTATGCAGAAATATTAAAATTTTATGTAGTAAAAAAACAACAACACCTACCGTTAAACAATGTGCCAGTTGTTCAGCCATTATCTCTGAGCTTCTAATCCCACCTCCCATCCCCGACTTCGTGATGCTGGGCCTGGGTCCCTGCATACTTCTCACTTTTTATCCGTTGGTGCAATCATGTAGGCCCCTTTTCACCTTCTGATTCTTAAGCTTGAGAGCAAAGTCTATGTCTTTTTGAAATTTGTATCATTTACAAAGTGTATAACTGTATGTAATATGCTTTCAATAAAAGCCTGTGTTAAGTTTGCTTAGCATTTACCATTAAAATCAGGTACCTGAGGTTCTAGAGCAAAAGAGGAAGAAGCAAGGAAGTAACAAGTGACAATATTATATATCCTGCTACTTAACACAAATACATTTTTCTATCAATGTGTGAAAAAGAATATACTATTAATAAGTTAATTCAGGCTTGATATGTATGAAAAGAAATTTTGAGGCAATATTCATAAAAGTACACAGGAAATTCAGCACTTCATTGATCTGGTTCACTCCACTGGCCCAAGCATCAAGGAATGAATCTTAAGTTTAGAATAGTTCAGTAAATGCAGTAGTGGCAATTTTCCTGTTATTTCCTTTAACAAAAGAAAATCTTGACAACCCAGTCCTAATCTTGGACATACCCAAGGCTACAAATACTACCATTTTGTAATACCTTCAAGTAACAGCCAACCATTGAAAAGAAAAAGCCTGTCTTGTTGCCAGTTATTCCACAGGTAGCAATAGCACCTTCTAAAATGCGGATTTGGCTTGTCATAAGTGTAAGAAACATTTTAAACAAAAGGAAGAATCTAGAGCAAAAATAATGTTGGCATCCATGCTCACAATATTAACCAAAAAGGAAAAACAGATATTTTAAAGAACGTAACTGCTCACAAAAACATGATAAGCAACAGACTCAGTCTTAATCAAAACCAGTAAGTTTACACGTTTTATCACAACCAATTCTTTAAGGGTAAAAAAATAACTTAAGACTGATAAAGTAAATAACCA